GGCACCCCTTGAGGAAAAACCCCCCCCCCCCCCCCCCGCCGCCCCAAAACACACCTCTTGGGGGCCACCACCACCACCACCACCCGCCACACGATAAAAAATACAAACCTTAGCTCTCCCCCTGGCGTCCAACAGCACGTTGCTCGACGACAACCCTCCGTGGACGAACCCCAGGTCCGCCAGGTGCGCCATGCCGGAGCAAACGTCTCCCACGATGCGGCGCAGGGCGCGGTCGTCCAGCGGCATTGGCGCGGGCGCCGCCGTCGACTCCGATGACCCTTCCCCCGCGGCCGCCGCCGCCCCCGTGCGATGCATCGCCGCCGCCGCTGTCGCCGCTGCGGACATCCTCAGCCGTTGCCGTAAGCTGCCGCCCGGGAGGAGCTCCATCGCCAGCAGCAACCGGCCGTCATTTTTGATACTGCTTTTGCTAGCGTCGCCGGCGTCATTGTTCTCTCTGCTTCTTTTTTCGCTGTCGCTGTCGCTGTCGCTGTCGCTGCCGCTGTCGCTGCCGCTGCTATCGCCGCCGCCGCCACTGCCGACCACGATCCCGAAGACGGTGACGATATGGGGGCCCCGCAGGCGCTGCAGGGTCTCCACCTCCCGCACCAAGGCGGCCTCCCACCGCCGGCAGCGGAGGCGGCGGTCGTCGTGACCACCGCCGAAGGTTAAGGTTTCCCGCCACCGCGTCAATTGTCCTCCTCCTCCTCCTCCTCCTTCTCTGCTTTCCCTCTCCTCTTCCTCTTCGCCCATCACCTTGTGCCGGGACCCGCGTTGGCTACTGCCGGAGTTGCCACCCTCACCGTTTCCTCCTCCTCCTCCTCCTCCTCCTCCTTTGAAAGAAAAAGCCTTGACCGCCGCGTTTAGCCCCATGCAGCTGCCCAGGTACACCGTGGTGGAAACCGTGCTGTTCCTTTTGTCTTCACTACCTCTACCCCCCCCGCCGCCGCCGCCCCCGCCATCCCCGTCTCCGAGGACCTCGTCACCCACAACCTCAACCTCGGTGGCCGGAATTTCCACCTGGTGAAGCCGCCACTCCCTCAACCTTGTCTTGGAATCTTCAAGAATCTCCTGTTATTTCGATTTTGTTTTTTGGAGCGGGAGAGGGTCGCGTTTAGTCGTGCGGGGGATTTCGTGCGTTTGTGTCGTACTCCGTACGTGTTGAAAATTGAACTTTGCAAGTGTTTCGTACATATCGATACTGCCGCCGAACCAACCAGCGGTGGGACGAGCAGAGTGCTGCTGTGGCACACCTGAGAGGATCTTCGCTGCATCCGCGAATGGCGATCCGATGCCTCCAGCAGGCTGCTGCTGCTGCTGCCGCCGCTGTATCCCGCGCGAACCTTCATGACGAGCTGGAAAAATTAAACCAAAAGACGTTTGAAAACGTGACCACAACGGGAGACGGACGGAAGGAGGGGTCATTTGAGAGAGAGAGAGAGAGAGAGAGAGAGAGAGAGAGAGAGAGAGAGAGAGAGAGAGAGAGAGAGGGAGGCGGAAAAAAAGAAACGGACAAGGCGGCACGCCGCCGTGATCTGCGAGCTAGAGATAGTGGCAACGAGTTCACGGCGAGAAGGATTGTCGTTACAATTGTAAGGAATCGGGATGTCAGTACATGTGGTCAGTCGATCGGCACGGAAATCCCATCGCCACAACGCCAACAACAACGGGAGGAGGCGTTTGCTCGTAAAGCTCGCTCGCTGCCTGGTGCCCAAGGAAGCGAGTGGGGGGCCGACAACACTCACCACTGTCAGGTTGGACACCACCTGCTACTACAGCACATCGGTGTCGTTTGGAAGACCATGGACCACATGGGTCCCTTTCGAAGCGTATGCATACATAGCAGCACTGTTTTCTACTCCTCTTCCATAGAGGTTGCCAGGTACGCTTTGGCACTAACTGCCGTGCTTCCTCGTACAGCAGTATCATAGCCGGGCTGTATGACAGGTGTTTTCGTCCTGGTTCCATCGGTACTACTGCTGTACAAGGAAATTCACCCCCACACTACCGCGCCGTTACATCGTCGTCGTCGTCGCTTTTGGTGCGACGGGTTACATACATACCATACGTGTAGATACAGAACGCGCACCACTTGAGACCTTCGCCGTTAAGAACTTGAGCCTAAAAATCCAGAAATATCCAGAATCTAAGAACTCTGCCATGAGAACAGGTGCGCGCTCAGTGAAGAATCTTACAGTAAAACCTACATAAATAATCCTTCACTAATTCCTATACAAATGATCCTACACTAAAGCCTATATAGTCGCCGTGGGGGTAGTCTACCCCACGGACAAAATAAGAAATGAGCCTCGACCAAAAAAGCGGTGGCGTGCTCTGTAGTCGACAAAAAAGGCTGACGACTGACCTCAAGCCGTTGCGAAGCGAGGGCGATGGCCAGCTCAGCCTCGGACTGCCGGCGATGGCACAGCCCCGACCAAAACGCCTCCTCGGCGGAGAGCCCCCTGCTCGCGTAGCACTGCATGATCTCGCTCATCTCGCAGATGCTCTCCTGGATGTCCTCCATCAAGACGCGCTCGACTTGCTCATCGTGAGCCGTCGCCTGGGTGCGTACATGCGTGCACAGTGAGCGGTGACGAAGAGGAAAAAAAAAAAAAAAAAGAAGAACGGGCTTCGTCGGTATCTACTAAAAAAAAATAAATAATGCCTGCAACAATCAATCGATCACACACAATTATTCAATTCAGAGGGGGAAGGAGTGAACGGGCATGTTTGTGTTTGTACTCGGCAGGATCTCCGAGATCTCCGGGGTGTACGCAGATAGATATACATGATGGGGGTGATGGACTTGACGCGCTAGGCTCTGCTTGCCTGCCCATGTCTCTCACTCGTTAACCGTTAATCAAGGAACTTGAGTCACTCCTTTGTGCAACACGCGCCGACACCCCAAACACTCCCTTGGTTATTTAGAGAGTGAGACATGGGCAGGCAAGCAGAGCCTAGTGCGTCAAGTCCATCACACCCATCATGAATCTATCTGCGTAGTCCCCCGGAGATCTCGGAAAATTCGTATCCTGCAGAGTACACACACAAACAGGGCACAACGGGTTGAGCACGGCGCCGTACCTCAGGTGCAAAGCTTTGGTTGCGGGACACAAAAACGGAGAACGAACTCGAGTGGGAGGGGGGGGCACATGTTGAAAGACGACGCCCCTAGCGTAGAGCCCCTCGTCTCTCGTTTCTCGCACACCGCTGCCTTGATTTCCCTTTGTTTGCTTTGTGTATTCTTCAATCCTTCCCCCACTTTCTCCCTGGACCCTTTTTCTTCTGTCATGTGTCTTGTTCAATGTACGTGCCGATCAACCCGCACACACGCGCGAGAAACGGGGAAAAGCATCCCCAGGCGTACCATACGGCAGGCAAGTCTTCCTGCTCAGCGCCCTTCTGTCTCTGTCTGTCTGTCTGTGTGTCTGTCTCCTCTCTCTCTCTCTCTCTCTCTCCCTCTCTCTCTCTCTCTCTGTGTACCTGTCTCTTGTCTGTCTAACGGTCTCTCTCTTTCTGTTTCTCTCTCTATCTCTCCCTCCCTTTTCTCCCTCTTCCTCCCTCGCTCTCTTTTCCCTCTCTGTCTCTGTCTCTGTCTCTGTCTCTGTCCCCCTCTCTATCTCACCTTCGCAAGCACGCGCACCGCCCTCCGTAAGGTCCGAGCCACGGAACCGCACCACCCCACCCAATTCCCCCCCCCGCCGCCGCCGCCGCCGGACGCCTTCATGAGGCGAGCGACCGAATCCGCGGCCTCTCTCACCGCGGGCACGATCGACGTCAGCGCCAGGGCTTCCACCTCCGCCCACGAAGCGGCGGCGGCAGCAGCAGCAGCCGCAGGCGACGGCGACGGCGACGGCGACGGCAACGGCAACGGCACCCCCCCGCTGGACCTTTGCCGCGTTGGATGATGTCCACCGCCGACCTCGGCGACACCGCCGCCTTGTTGACCATGATGCCGCAGAGGCCGACCGCTACTCCGCGAGTTGGGGATGCCGTGCGGTGGCGGAAGCGACCGGGGGCGTTCGCCGCCGCCGCGGTGACGGCGGCCCCCTCCCCCGCCCCCGGGCGAAAACATCGGCGCGCTCGCCGTCGATCGCGGAGTCACGGAGGAAGTCGCGGCGGCCTTGAGCACCGAGGCGCTGCTGTTCGTCCTCGCCCTCCTCCTCCCGGTGCCGGAGGCGACGGAGGAGGGCGAGGCGCAGACGCTACCGCCGCCGCCGCCGCCGCCGCCGCCGCCCCGCCCGGAGCTGCTGCCTTGGTCGAAACACCCGCTGTTGACGCTGCTACACGAATCCTGCGCGCTTCCCGCCTGCAAGAAACTAGGCCCCACGGAAGCCAGCAAGGTGCACGTCGTCCCGGGGCGCCCCGGCGTTGTTCTCCTGGCCGGCGGCGGGGCGGCGGTGCTAGGTTCCGACTTGGCCTTCTCGAACGAGACCGGTCGCCAGACCGGGGCTTGTTCCTCCTCGTTTCCCTCCTCGATGGAAGCGGCGGCGGTGGCCGCCGCCACCGCCGTTAGCCGCCGGCCGGAAGAAGTGCGGCGGCGCTGAGGAGGCGGCCGCGGATTGTCGGACGACAGCATCGTCGATACCGGGGCGCGTGCCATGGCAGCCGCGGTGCCCCCAGCGGGCAGTGATCGGGAGCTCGTGCCGCCGCCGCCGCCGCCGCCACCGCCGCCGCCGCCGCTGGCACTGGCGCTCTTTCCCCCCCCTCCGGGTCCCGCCTTGGCCACTCCACCCCCCCCCCCCCGGGGGGGG